CATTTTTCTTATTTTTTCCTCTCGACATGGACGTCCTGTCGTCCACGGCGATAAACCATTGCAAAAAATACCACAAAGAGCACACGCGCGCGTTCATGTCAGAATCCTACCGAACACAATGTGTTTGCAAGCATGTCAACATAACAACATCAAAAACCCAATGTTTTTTTTTCACAAAAATTGTACAAATTTCCCGCCCGGGCTCTCTTGCTGAAATCATAGGAAAACCATAGGAATCTTAAGAATTCGGTCAAATCCAGCGATTTCGCGTCATCGCGCGGTGCACTCGCGATGCTCTGTCATGCACCCAGGCCGCGAATCCTCTGCAAAAAATACCACAAAGAGCACACTCGCGCGTTCATGTCAGAATCCTACCGAACACCGTGTGTTTGCAAGCATTTCAACATAAAAACATCAAAACCCCAATGCTTTTTCACAAAAATGCTTTGGGGTGTCCTGTCAGACCGTCGGGCTTCCTCCGGCCACCTCTGGCTTCCTGCGGTGTACCGGGCCATTCTCGACTCGTCTGGCAATGCGTGCGCGGCATTCAACACGCGCTCGCCAGTTCCCGTCGGCAACCGCCATCGCGGCCGAATCAGCTGTACCAAACCGGCTGGCCGGTGTGACTTCGGCCCCCAATTGTGCCAGCTTTGCTTCTTTTGTTGTGGGAGGGCGGGTGGGACTGGGCATGCCATGCTTGACTCGCTCGAGCTGGCTAGCTTGACTCCTACTCCTACTCCTACTCCTACTACTACTCCTGCTCCTGCTCCTACTCCTATCCTTATCCTTATAAGAATATACTCCTACTCCCCCCTCAGGCCGGCAAATAGCGGGCGCATCCGGGTGGTCCCATCCTAACCTGTAAAAAACAATACAAAATCAACATTTGTCTTATTTTTTCCTCTCGACATGGACGTCCTGTCGTCCACGGCGATAATCCATTGCAAAAAATACAACAAAGAACACACGCGCGCGTTCATGTCAGAATCCTACCGAACACCGTGTGTTTGCAAGCATTTCAACATAAAAACATCAAAAACCCAATGCTTTTTTTTTCACAAAAAATTGTACAAATTTCCAGCCCGGGCTCTCTTGCTGAAATCATAGGAAAACCATAGGAATCTTAAGAATTCGGTCAAATCCAGCGATTTCACGTCATCGCGCGGTGCACTCGCGATGCTCTGTCATGCACCCAGGCCGCGAATCCTGTGCAAAAAATAACACAAAGAGCACACTCGCGCGTTCATGTCAGAATCCTACCGAACACCGTGTGTTTGCAAGCATTTCAACATAAAAACATCAACAACCCAATGCTTTTTCACAAAAATGCTTTGGGGTGTCCTGTCAGACCGTCGGGCTTCCTCCGGCCACCTCTGGCTTCCTGCGGTGTACCGGGCCATTCTCGACTCGTCTGGCAATGCGTGCGCGGCATTCACCACGCGCTCGCCAGTTCCCGTCGGCAACCGCCATCGCGGCCGCATCAGCTGTACCAAACCGGCTGGCCGGTGTGACTTCGGCCCCCAGTTGTGCCAGCTTTGCTTCTTATGTTGTGGGAGGGCGGGTGGGACTGGGCATGCCATGCTTGACTCGCTCGAGCTGGCTAGCTTGACTCCTACTCCTACTCCTACTCCTACTCCTCCCCTCGTTCAACCTTGAACGATCGGCGGTTTTCGAATCGCCAGGCCGTTCAACAGAGCACGATGCTGGATCACCCGCGACCTTTCAACGTTGAACGCCAGCGGCGGGGTCGCCGCCGGTCGACACGACACGAACCTGCCGTAAGTTAGGCGATGTGGACTCCCAGGACCTCCTCAACTCCGTGGCGGCCCTGGATGGCCGAGCCTCGGCGGGTGCCCGAGCGAAACGCGGGGAGGGCCTCGGAAGCCCGAGCAGAAAAAGGCTGGACAGCCTCGGTACCCCTTCCCAGGGCCTCCCAAACTCCGCTCAGGGGAGCAGCGTGGACCAGCGCCACCGAGGACCCGCCGCATGGGGAGCGACCCCTGGGCGGTGGCACGCCTGAGCGTGGTCCTGTGCTGGATGACGCTCGGGCGTGCCACCGCCCAGGGGTTGGCCCGCCACCGGTGGGTTCTCGGTGGCGGTGGTCCATGTGCACAGTCGGACCGAGGCCAGAAGAACATCCTGCAAGAGCACGAGACCCTCTGCCGGCCAGATCACGCAGAACATCCGAGGACACCCTCCCCAGGATGCACAAGAACATCCAACAAACACGAAGAACACTCGCACTCGATGTACCCTCCCCGAACCTGCCTCGATCGTATACCTCGGTCCAACTGTACTTATTTGATCCCTGGCGGCCCTGAAGGGTCGAGTCCCGGCCCTCTGTCGGAGGGCGCTCGGGCAACTCTTGGAGGGGAGCCCCGCCCCGCCTCCTCGCGTCCGTCGTCGTCCATCGTCGTCTGCTTGCTCCTCCCCCCCTTCTCCCCCTACCTGGAGGAAGAACAAAAGCTGTATGAACATGAACTTTCGACGCTCCGCGCGGATGTCTTGGATCTGCGCTGGGCCCCCCTGGCGACGCCCTTGGCGCCTCCCCTGGCGCGCTCCGCTGTTTACGTTTACCCATCGGTCGGAAGAAGTAGGTAGAAACATGAAGTAGGAAGGCGTTGAACGTAGATTGGGTTCCGTCCGCCCCCTAAGGAGGACGGAGAAGGCGAAGCCACTCGATCATTGAAGTAGGAAGGCGCCTAGATTGCAATCTGGGAGAGAGCGTGATCCACCGCCGCTTTACTGTGGAAAATTCCCCCCCCTCTTCCTGCGGAACCTGGGGGTCTCCCCCCCCCTTCGAAAATCCCTCCCCTCCTGCGGGACCCCCCCCCTTCCCCTGGCAACCCCCCCTGCCCCCCTAACCCTTGCCCTTCCCCCCCCCCCGGAAACCAGCGGGGGTCACTACCGGTTCGAACCCCCCCCCCACCCCCCTCCAGAAAACCGAGGGGGTCACTACTGGTTCGAACCCATCCCCCCTCGCCGCCGGCAAACGATTCCCGGTCCTCGGGACAGTGGGACAGCGGAAAACCGGGGAAGTTCACTACTGGTTCGAACCCCCCCCTCCCCCCCCCTCCGGAAAACGGTGGGAGTCACTACCGGTTGGATCCCCCCCCTCCCCCCTTCCCCCCCCTCCAGAAAACCGCGAGGGGTCACTACCGTTCGAGCCCCCCCCCTCAACGCCGGCGAACGACTTCCGAATCCCAGAGGTCTCCATGATCTTATTTTAAGATCCTGGATGTGGATCTTATTTTATGTTGTGAAATTATAACATATATACTGGTGTTTCCCGTTTTCAACGACATCACCTTCATCACAGCATCGTCAGCATAATCAATGTCATCACCATCACCATCACCATCATTATCACCATCGATTCCAAACCAAACGACTAGAGAGCAGGAACGCAGAGTTGAGCGAGAGGATGGGAGTAGGGTGGCGGTGGATCCTGCGCGCGGGTGAGAAAAATGTCAACAGATAGGCAGTTGGCGAGCGCGAGATTTCGAGGACATCTCAAGTGAAACGAGCGTGTCGCGTTTTCTCCTTGCCTCACTCCTCACTATCCTCCTCCCTTCCTTCTCTTCTTCGACATCTTCTCTCGCCCTTCATTTTCCCCTCCCCCACCCCGCCCCGAACCCCGCCCGCCCACCCTCCGATCCTGCGGCGCAGAATAGAATCACAACACGGCACGAAACGCTCCGAGGCACGGCACGGTGGATAATTTTTTTATGGCAGATGTGCCTGTCTGGGATCTTCACCCACGAGTGTGGGCAACCGTTCTCGGCGAAGCGACCTCTTGGGCGATCTCTGTGATCGCTCACTCGATGATGGCAGGGTGCCATCAACAAAAACAGTGCAGCTTGCGTAGGCGTGCAACGGGGGGGAGGGGGGCCTGCGAAAAGGACGGAGTGTTCGTAAAGAGGGGGTTGGGCACCTTGGAGGCGAATCGAGGCACCTGGATTGATGCGAGGTGCGAACGGTGTAGAACTGATACGTGACTGACTGAGTGAGAGGAGGGCGAAGGAGCGCAGAGAGGGTGGGTGATGGAAGAGGGTGGGTGGAACGTAAACGGCGGCAGAGCGAGTGGAGACGGCGCAGAAGTCCCAGAGGATTTAAAAGCAAAGGAAGTGCCAGTGCACGAGGAGATGACAGGGGGACGGAGGGGAGAGACGAGCCATAAAATTGTGAGCTCTTACGGGTGAATTCGCATGAGACCACACAATTGAGTTCGTGCTTCCGTGTCGAATGTGTGTCTTATGCTTGAATGCGTGTGTTCCGTGTGATGGGTCTCAAGCTGCAGGAAGTGCGCAAATAATTAAGTTTGCAACAGACTCGCAGAACTTCGGTGGGTATTCTTTGGAAGCTGCTTGGTCCTGGGTCTTATTGATCCACGCAGCATCCCTCCACCCTGTGCGCGCAGCGGCACCGCCCTCTCCCGTGCGGGCGCGCTTCGTTGACCTGGCACCAAGCCTATAGAGCGGCGTGCGCACGCCAGCTTCCTGCAACACGCGAATAGCAGCAGACTTAGAACAGCCGAGATGCTCA